CAGGCAAAGCACGCAGCAGCTCCGGCTGCTCTCAGTCCTCCTGCCACTCTCACAGCTGCCTTTTCTTCTTCCTCCACCACCGCTGCCGCCTGACCATTTGCAGCAATCCCTCAAGCCCCTCTCTCCCTCAAACTGGTTTCCAGGTGCCCCACAGTCTGCCTTTCACCAGAAGGGGGGAGCCTTGAAACCAACGCCTAGGTTGCCTGCATAAGGGACCATCACCCAACATCACTTCTCACTTCCAAGTGCAGGAGGTGGCGGCAGTCGCCCGAAACTCCCCCTCCTTTCCTCCCAGCAACTTTTCCAGGACACAACGTGAGGAGAGAGTGGGGGGGGGGAGGGGGAGAGGATGGCTGTGAAGGAGGCTGCAACTGATGGGCTTTGCCTTACTAGAAGAAAGGGAAACCTTGGGAGGAGAATAGCCCCATATGGTGTGAACGGTTAATGAATGGAATCGAGCCGACGATTGCTTGTCGGTTTTACGTGGTTTATTTATTTATTTATTTTTGCAGCTACCACTAATAATACTTTTCAAAAAGAAGGCGGGAGAAGTCTTAAGTCCAGGGCTTGTGAGTTCACATTTAGAGTTTGTAATGAATAGTTTTTCATTGGAGGGGGGAGGAACCCGAAAACTTTATTTGAAGTGATTGTAATCTGATGCAGAAAAACCCTTTGAGGCTTCTTCTTCTTGGCACTTGTTTTATTGCTCTCTTCCCATCTGCACTCCCCCACCCCACCCCGGTGACGCATTATGTCACAATTCTCTATTAATTTTAGCTTCTTCCCAGAAATTAAAATTTGAACAAGAGCTCGCCCCCCCCCCTTCCAGCCTGCATTTCTGGAGGAACTGAAGTCAGCTTCAGAAATATAAGAGAGCAAATAGTACGAGGAACCGAAGACTAAACAAGAAGCAACTTTTAAAGCAAGGGGCCTAAACTCACTTGCTTGGCAGGGTGTGAGTCCCATTTTGCAGTGGATTTACTTTCGAGTACACATGCAGGAGATCTGGCTGCAGCACAGTGCAATCTGTTCAAAGTAGACACTTTACTAGATTTTTACCCCAGAGGTAACAACTTGGTTAGGCGATTGCAATGTTGTTGTGACTGCTGGTTTAGCATCTTGTGTGCTTCAGTGCCTTCCAGTGGGGTGGGGCAGGAAAACAGGACATTTGTCTGTCACCATAGATTTAGAGATGTTCTTTGCATTTTTTAATCAAAACACATAGTTTTCCTAGAATTGTGGAACTGGATTGTGGGTCCATATGGCAAATATCTCATATGTACTCCTTAGGTTAGAGAAGAGTGGGATATAAAAACCAACTCTTCCATTTTCTTCTTCCATTTAAAATACCAAATAAAAGACAGATTTTCGGCAACAGTCATACCTCTCCCCTTTGATAGAAAAGAATGAGCAACATTTGCAAATCTTCTTCCATAATAAGCAACCATTAGGAAAGAGTCATTACTCTTCTGTTGTATACAAAGGGAAACATGCTTTGCTTTCTTTTTAAAGTCCTTTTTTCTGCTTTAGCTAAATATCATTGATATCTCTGCATTAAAATAATCTATTTTGTGATCAGGATTATTCTCTCTCTCTCTTTCCCAAAATTAGAACAAATCAGAAAGGAGGGTAGGTGTGCCAGCTCTGAGTTGGGAAATACCTGGAGATTTTGGGGGTGGAGCCTGAGCGGTGGGCGTTGCCTTCTGACATACTTCCGGTGATGTCAGGGTGTGTGGCATATGCAAATGAGTTATAATAATGAGTTACACTAATAAGCTCCTGCACCTCTTTTTCTATTAAATGACCCCTGCTCTCAACAATACCTCTTCAATTATAATTGTCTAGGACACAGCGTTAATTCTGATTCTGTATGAGAGGGCATTTCTTTGTGTTCAGTAACCACTGTTAATCTGGTACATTGTCAGTTTGCATGGTTTGCCATACATCTTTATTTGTTTTGACGTGCCTTCCAGTGCTTCATATTAGTTACACATCCTGTGCACCTGCAGAGATATTCTGTGAGGATCAAGCTCTCCTTATGAATGAGCTCTGCTTAGAATGGTTTGGCTTCTTGTATCTTCAATGCCTTTTAATGGCTCTGGCAAAAATTGCACATCTCTATTCTATCCCCCCATGTCAGTACAGGTTACTATGAAGAATGATAAAGAAGTTGCACTGGGATCCAGGGAAGGCATTATCTTCTTGCCTCCAGCCTTCGTGTATGAACGATTTCGTATGGTGTCTGCCTTGTACTACTTCAGACTGCAAAGGGAAGCTCACAGAACTGAATGGTCCTCCACAGGAAAAAAATATATCCTTCAAGTAGAAAACGTGATGCCAAGAAGAGTTCTTGACTAGCCTTTCCCAACATGCATATTCTGCAAGGATATATTTAGTGGAACATTAAGTTATATGAGTGTCCATCTGCAGTCTGAAGCGGCACAGAACTTGCACAGGTTTATCACCTCAATGAGAACTAGGACACAGTGTAATTTTTAAAATATGACAAGTTTCAGGATAGCCACGTTAGTCCACTGTAAAAAAATGAGAACCATGGCATCTCAAAGAGTAGTGATTAAATAAATAAAAGAAATATATTTATAGATAGCCTTTCTGGACCAGGGCTCACTTCATCAGTTATATGAAGTAGCTGACTAAATCAGATTATAGAGAGAAGAAAATAAAAAAGAGAGAGAGAAACCCCTGTGCACAGTTTACCAATTTACCTTACCTATTTGATAACTGCTTCTTATAATAGATGATACAGGTTCTGTCCCATGAGAGTTTATGCCAAAATAAATGTAATAGGTTTTGAGGTGCTGCTGGACTGAGGTATTATTTATCTTTTCAGTTCAAATGCAAAATATGTCTTAAGTCCAGCAGTGCAAGTCTGATGTGCCTTTTGACACCGCTTCAACAGCAAGTGTATACAGTACTGTCAAATAGGGCTGCCAAACAGCCCCGTTGCCAGAGCGACGCGTAGCATCACATCCTGGCGATGCCGGTGCAATGCATATCACTGTCCCCCCCATGAAAGGGATCCTGTGACAACGCATGGATCCCCCACCGTGGCTTGGCAGCCCTACTGTCAAATCATAAGGCAGAAAAGCCCCACATGTTGATCTTCCTATTTATTCACCTGAATTTTTCAACTGCCTTTTATATACATGGCTGTAGTAACCAGGGGCTATTTTATTTTTTTAGTTGTTTATCGTTTGTAGTTCCTTGCAGAAGGCAGTGCTTAGCTTACATTCTAGAGCTGGAGCAGTGCTAATAAGGCCACCTGTAGACCATTAGCTCATGGTTGCCTAGCACTGACTCTGTGAAGACTTGTTGGGGTTTTTTAATGACCTTGGACAGCTGAGGCTGGTTGGGCTTCCCATGCAATGGCCGAGCATGTGAATCTCAATCAGCTCCACCTTCAATTACCTCTGCCCAATATTCATTTACATGTCAGACTCTCTGACCAGGATCGGGCTCAGGTGAATCTGGTTGCAAGGTCCAATTAGTGCCTGTGACCAGGTATTCCAAGAGGAGGTTAAAAATAAAGGCTTTTCTTTGTCAAACGTTAGACCTGGAGCTGGGTATGCTACTGGGTGCTAATGTTTTTCCATTAGTGTGAAACCCTGAACCTCTGCTAGAGGAATTGAGATTTGTGATCTGCCTTGCTGGACTGCTGAAAGCAGATTGTTTCTTTATGCTGCAAGAAATGCTATGGACACTGGGTGAAGTGGGTCTTCTCATGCATGGGTCAATGAAAATGTGAAAAGGTGACTGGGCTTAATAAATGCATGCTGCCCCAAACTCTTTGGAGGAAGGATGAGAGATGAACATGCTAAAGCAAATAGGTAGGCATGAATCTCTGGCACATCCTGGTTATCTGGGAAAACTGATGTTAGGTAGCAAGATATCCCCAGGGGCCAAAAGAAATGGTACAGTCAGTTACCCATATAGCACTTGCAACTTGCCTGTGTTTTGCTTGCAACAACTAGCTGCGTCATGTCAGTAATCTGGATGCTGTTCTCCCCATGCAAAGGCAAAATCAGAATATGCTCAGAGGAAAGGAATGTAAGCAGCAGATGCCTGTTGTGTGAGCATCCTTGTTCAGGCATCCCAGTGTCTGAATGAAAACAACAGCTTTCTTCACTAGCTTTGAAGGCCAAGCAGCCAAACAAACAGCAGGATATTCCAGTGCTTTGGTTGGCAGAATGGCTATAGTCTATTCAATTAAGTCCACATGACTTTGCTGTAGTCCTCAATTGCCCACAAGGAGTACTACTTGTTGGCAGAGTAATTAACACAACAACGGTGCACAGCCTACTTTAAGTGTAGATAAAGGTTTATTTAGGAATTAACATACTTGATAGGAAAGAGGAGAGACAGAGATTGCTAATTACATCTCTAGCTGAGAGAGAGAGAGAGAAAGAGAGAGAGAGAGAGTGGAACTTCCAAGAAGGGGGAAATTGCCCTAAGAGTAGTAATCTGGAGACAGACAAGGAATGACATTTAACAGGAGAGAAGGTGCTGATCTCACGATCCTATTTAATTGTCTTCTTGCTGCCCCCTACAGGGTCTTCTCTTCTCCTTTGTACACCAGACATTGCCTTTTCCAACACTACTAAGGCTCCACCTTTGAATCTATTATTAATTCCTGCATCCCACCCCACCACATATAGAGACTACTAAAGGTGGTGAACTGGTGGTATTCAGTGCAGGGAGATGGAGAGCATAATTTCCACAACATTCATTTTGACTTGCCTTCAGTCTTATGCTGTAATACCCTTCAAATAATAGGTGATCACAGCATGAATGACCCATACTACCTGTTTTACAAGGGTTTTTCCTTTAGAATTAGAGGGGAATGAAAGCATTTTTGCTTGCACATAGGATGCCACAGACAGCAATGCGAGGAACGTTTTGCAGAGCTGCCCAGAAAGGGTTTGGTTTGATGCAGGAGCTCCAGAGTTTCTTTGTAATAATAGTCCTTGTGAGCCCCATAGATCTCTGCAACGGGCGCTGGACTGTACCAAGCAGAGTCTGAGAATCTTCATCGATCTCGGGGAGACAGTCAAAACAGCACAGACCTGGCTGCAGGCGGGGAGGCTCTACTATCAAATGCAAGAGGACGAACTGGTGGAAATGTATTTGCAGGTAGCACAAGGCTCTGAAGATTTGTGGTATCTGTCAAGTGAATACTTCTTTGTGAGAGACCATTGTGAAGATGAGGTTTGAATCACCAATAAATAACAAACGGCCAAACCACGGGGGGGGGATTATCGTCTTGGTATGTTTGAAAAAAGAAATTTTCACTTATGCCCTGTACAGTGGTTGCTACACTGTGGGTGTTCAAGACTCACTGTCTAGTAGGAAATTTCCCTCCCACTTATACTTACTGACTTGGTCTTGGCTGAGGAACAGGCAATAAAAAGGAGGCACAATCCTTGTATCACATTAATCTACAGGTTTGTGCTCGGAGCTTGATGTATGCAGGAAATACGCAACTGCATTTTCCACATCTATAAAAGATCTCCCGAAGTGTGTTGTACTTTGTGGCATTTGCAGAATTTGAGTCTGCTTGCAGCATTTGGCAGTTTCAGTCAGGGCTTTGAATTTATTCCTGTGTGATGATATTGTCTGAGCTCTTCCTTGTCTGAACCCTTTGCAGGCAGCCATACAGACTGCACTGAAACCTGGAGAGCTGCATCTGGCCATGAACCTGTATGAAGAAGCTGGTGATGTCTTCTTCAATGGGATCCAGAACAGACAAAGCGCAGTGGAATATTACAGGGTACCAGTAGCAACAACTGCTGGCATCAGCCTATGCAGATTTCCATATTAAGATGTCACTTAACCATTAATGTCCTTGAAAGAGAGACTACAGAAATAGATTCAGAGGGCAAGAGAACAGCTAGCTTCAAGTCCAAGAGCCCCTTAGAGACCAACAAAAATTTCAGGGTGTGAGTTTGAGAGTCACAGTTCCCTTTGTCAGATACATATCTCACAAAGGGAGCTGTGACTCTCGAACTCATACCCTGATATGTATCTGACAAAGGGAACTTTGACTCTTGAAAGGTCAAACCCCCAAAATCTGATTGCTGTCTGAGGTGCTACTGGACTCGAATCTAGCTGTTCTATAGATATAGAGAGTGGGGAAGTTAGTGGACATTGTGACAGTGATATTAACATTAAATAAAACCTCTCAGACCCATGCCATCTGTGTTGAGGCACACTTTGCCACTGAGATACCCCACAATCAAGCAGGGGAAGGGGTTGTGACTCAGTGGAAGAGCATAGCTTTGCATGCAGAAGTTCCCAGTGATTCAGTCTCTGCAGTCACTAGTTAAAAGGAGTCCAGGTGACAAGTTATGGAAAAGACATTTCTCTTCTTCTGACCACAGACAGTTGTTGCCAATCAGAGTAGGCACAACTGCACTACATTTGCTTGTTTATTTATTTATTTACTGCATTTATATGCTGCGTTTCTCCTTGAAGGGGGCCCAAAGTGTCTCACAAAAATACTGGAATACAATAAAACAACAAAAGAAACTGGCCCAGGGCTGGTTCTGCTAGAGGAAGTTACCTAACACAGGCCCCAGGCTGAAAGCCCTGGGCTTAAGAGCCTGTGGGCCAAGATCCCTTTGGCTTGTGCCTTTGGTATTCCTAGTACTTCTTGCAAGAGAGGAAGATAAAACTTAGCCTGGATGGAATGCATCTGCTGCTGGCTTTCTGCCAACAATATCTTCCTGACAAAGTGAGGACCCCTGGGACCATGTTGATATAAGGCAGCTTCCTGTGTACATATGAAAGTTTTCTGTTTGTTTAGTATTTCACTTTTGCATGTCCAGTGGTTCCTTCAGTGACTTTTAACATTTATTCTATCTCCAAGGGTTATTCACAGATGTGTAATACTTCTGTATTCTTTGCAGAATACATTCCACACATGAAAGAGCATGTCCGTTGAAGTCAAATGGTGCGGGTGTCTTTGAGTTGCTCTCTAGCCTTCATTTTTATTCAGACTTGGATAGTTTCTATGGCTTTGTTCTGTTTGTGTGTGAAGTAGTGTTCTCTACACATCTGCAGGAGGAATGGCTTTCACTTTATCATCATGCTGCCCAGCAACTGTGATTTGCTGCTTGATTTAAAATAGATGTTGTGGTTCACCTTGGGAACTTGGGCAAGATACACTCCTACAGCACTTCTCACAGCTAGGTAAAAGGGATAGATTTCCTCAGATTAAAGACAATTTTTGATAGGGGCATTTTTGAAAACTTCTTTTAGATAAAACATTGATTAGTCCATCTATACCCCCATGTGCTTCAGTATTCTTCTCTTCTGGATTAAAAGGTGCAATTATGGGCTCTTCCGCATTCTGATTTTCATCACTCATTTGTCCCTGTTGCTTCAGGGTTTCCCCCTCCCCCAATGTGTTTTGCTTTCTCTAGTAGTCCCAGAGGGAGCAAAACACACGTGGAAAAGAGGAGGGGGGGGAATCCAAAGCAATAGGGACAAACGAGTGACAAAAATGAGAATGCGGAAGAGCCCTATATTGAGTCAGCATAAAGGCTTCTAGACAAAAACCAACTGGACAGAAGTACCAAGGTTACAAAGAACAACCACAACTACAAGAATATCTGCCTTTCTCTGCTTTCTGAGAGATTCAATTGATAGGTTAGAATAAGAAAATGAAGCCACATTTATGTACATTACCCTATAGCACCAAACTACCGAACCCAAGGCTTGTATGGCTTGTGAGTAAATGAGGATCTGGAGCCAAGCAACCATAGAAACAAAATTTCAGATGTATTGACTGAAGGGGAGACCAGGTCTTTTTTTCTTCTTGACTTTCCTTCTTGAAGAGCCCTTTCATAGCCAGCATGGTATGATGGCTGCAGTGGGATGGCTTGGTGGGAAACAATCAAGTAAATGTCCACATTGCTTCCTGTTTTGCCCAGGGAGGAGCCGTTCCTCTAGCAAGAAAGTTGAAAGCCACGCAGACTGAGTTGAGGGTGTTCCACAAGCTGACTGAGCTGCAGATTGAGCTCCAGAACTATGAGAAGGCTTTGGAATTTGCCACCTTAGCAGTCAGACTGAGTGTGGATGCAGGTAAGATATTGGCCAGGAACTGATGGTGCAGAAGTATCTGAAGCTGTATGGTAGAAAACATTGGGTGAAGCTTGTCAAGGGCAGGACAGTAGTTAATCCAGCAATTCTGAAATGACAACCATCCCTTATGAAGGGACTGTTATATATGGTTCTAGGAAAAAAGCCCACAGAAAAAACCCCACCGTCATAAATGCCCACGTGGAAATAAGCCCACACGGAAAAAAGCCCACACGGAAAAAATCCCATATACATAAAACCCCACATGGAAAAAAGCCCACACGCAAAAATGCCATGTAAAGTGCCATAGATATTTATAAATGTGGATAACCATTCATCTCCATTTATGACAATGAACAGGTATTGCCTGTATTCACGTGCAACAATTTGTGTTGTGATTTTATCAAGTATAATTAAATAATAATTTTCCTATGTTATTAGGTGACCTGCCTGTGCATTAGCCAGTGTTAGTTTGTTGTAAGTGAGGTTCCTCTGCAGTCCATTATATAGAGACCACACACCCGTGTTCCCTCTAAGCTGAGTTAGTGTGAGCTAGCTAGCTCACAGGTTTTTAGCCTCCAGCTTACAGATTTTTGTCTTAGCTCAGGAAGGATGGCTCCAGAGCAAACTGATTTATGCAGCAGCCAAATTGCTCACTCACAACTGTAATGCCAGTAGCTCACAAAGTAGAGTTTTTGCTCACAGGACTCCACACCTTAGAGGGAGTATTTTCACACACTGGGATAATTGCTGTGGAATAGGAAATTAAGAGCACTACAGGAGATGGTTGCCACTTCTGTTGCTATTTGTTATTTAATGTTGTCTTATGGTTTTGTTATCTTAAGCTAAGCTTCATAGATCTATGAGGCCTTAACTACTTCTACTATTTAGGAAAGAGAAAGAGGAGGAGGCAGTGGAAGTGGCAGCAGCAGGGCCGGCTCCAGGTTTTTTTGCACACTAGGCAAGGCTACCTTCTGGCGCCCCCACTCCCTGTGCACCCACCAATTTTCAAACATAAATGCATTTTAGAAAGAATAAAACCCACAAAATTTGAAATTGCTAATTTAAAATTGGTTTAATACGGTTTTATTCTGGTTTTAATGGCTTTTAAGATGTGTTTTTGTGCTCTGACCTTTAGGGGTTCGAAAGCCCACAATCCCAGTGTCTTTGCTCCTGATCTGGTTCTACAGTAACAATTAGCACAGTAATCCAATCAAGAAACATAAAAACTCCTGATCTGGTTCTACAGTAACAATTAGCACAGTAATACAATCAAGAAACATAAAAATACCAATGAACCAATAACAGGGCCATTAACAAAGCCAGGAGTTCCTGGCTTCCTCCAATGCCTGGAGTCTAAATAGGGTTGCCAACTCTGAGTTAGAAAATTCCTGGGGACTGGGATAGGGGGGGAGTTTGGGGAAGGCAGAGTTTGGGGAGGAGGCAGCTCAGCTGAGTCCAATGCATGCCCTTCCTCAAGGGGACCTGATCTCTGTAATGGGGGGAGCCTGGGGGGGAGTGTCTCCAGGTTCCACCTGCAGGCTGGCAACCCTAAGCCCTCCATTCTGGAAAGCTGCTCCTTGGCCGTGGGGCGCCGCCAGCTCCTCTTTCGTGTGCCCGACCCAGCCTTCACCACCTCCATTCCTGCTTTAAGGCCGGGGGTCAGTCCAGCAATCCTGCCTGGCCTGGCTCAGGGCCCTGCTTGGAGGTTGGCCAACAGGACTGGCTCTGGCGAGCTGGGGGTGGGGCAGCCACCAGGTATGGCCGGCTCAGGCAGATGGAAGAAGGCAGTGCAGGTAGAACTCAGGGCGGTGGTGGCGGGCAGAGTGCAGGAGCCCTGGTTTCCACTGGCCAGCGGAAAAAGGCAGCAGGCGGTGAAGGCAGGCATGCCAGGAGTCACTCCCCCACTGGCTGGCCAGAGGAGCAGGGATGAGAGGGCAGCCTGTGATTGTGAAGTGCCCCCGCCGGTGGCCACAGGCAGGGCTGGCTCCAGGCTGCTCCCCACTGTGCCTTTGGCTCCCCTTGGGCAACTGGGTCACCCTCCCAGAAAGGTGGGCAGTGGCCCGTGATTTACTACCCTGTTTAGGCAAGGGAGGGGAGGGGCGGCAGGCCGGGGGGCGCTCCCTCATAAGGGCCCACTCTAGGCCACTGCCTAAAAATTGTCTATGACAGCCTGGCCCTGGGCAGCAGCTGAGGTGGCTGGCTAACATAATTAACATAAGAAGAACCCTGCTGGATCACACCAGTCCCTGCAGTTGGGAGGGGCTGATCTTTTAGTTTCACAATGGGACCAGAGATATAAAAGGAGTAGCCTGGTGTGTTCCAGGCCTTTTATTATCCAGGCCCTGAAGAATGCAAGACTTTTTATGCAGGTAAGTTCGCTAAGGGGCAAAAATTAGATGCTGGGAAGATTTTAATTTAGTAAACCATGGTTTTTCAATTTTTTTTTCTTATTTATATGGTTGTGGGAAAACTAGAAAACAGTATGCCTGCAAAAAGGTCTTCAAAGCAGCCATGTTTTTTGTACTTATTTAGTTTTAATTCTGAGTGATCTCCAGCCCTCACCTGGAGACTGGCAACAATGGTTTCCCAGGAGAAAATGGCTGGTTTGGAGGGTGGAGTCTATGGCATTGTACCTGATCTGTATTGAAAACAGATCAGCCAATATCATAATGCCCCTATCAATGGTGCGACCTCATTTGGAATACTGTGTGCAATTCTGGTCACCACACCTTAAAAAGGATATTATAGCTTTGGAAAAAGTGCAGAAAAGGGCAACTTGAATGATAAAGGGGTTGGAACACTTTCCCTATGAGGAAAGGTTAAAGCGCTTAGAAATGCCCCTATCAATGGTGCGACCTCATTTGGAATACTGTGTGCAATTCTGGTCACCACACCTTAAAAAGGATATTATAGCTTTGGAAAAAGTGCAGAAAAGGGCAACTTGAATGATAAAGGGGTTGGAACACTTTCCCTATGAGGAAAGGTTAAGGCGCTTAGGGCTCTTTAGCTTGGAGAAACGACGACTGAGGGGTGACATGATTGAGGTTTATAAGATTATGTATGGGAAAGAGCAGGTCGAGAAAGAGGTACTTTTCTCCCTTTCTCACAATACAAGAACTCGTGGGCGCTCCATGAAATTGCGGAGCGGTCGGGTTAGAACGGATAAGAGGAAGTAATTCTTCACCCAAAGAGTGATGAACACTTGGAATTCACTGCCACAGGAAGTGGTGGCGGCTACAAGCATGGACGGCTTCAAAAGGGAATTAGATAAGCACAAGTGGAGACTCGCAAGAAACTTGCGGGATGGTTATCCTATTCCTCACGCCTTTGC